ACCATCTCTAGGACCATCATTCCATAGCTATAGACGTCAGACTTGTGAGAGACACCTCCCAAGTTTCTGCAAACAATTTCTGGAGCAATATAACCGATAGTCCCTCGTGCACCTAACATTGACACAATGCTCTCCTTTTTCATGCACAGTTTGGCTAGTCCAAAGTCAGAGATCTTAGGACAAAAATCTTCATCAAGCAGGATATTATGAGGCTTTATATCAAAATGCAAAATCCGAGTGGTACAACCACGATGCAAGTACTCCAATCCTCGAGCAATGCCTAGTGCAATTTGGTACAGTATTGGCCAATCCAATTGGCGAACTCTGTCGGATCTTTCCTCATATATAAACTTCTCAAGTGATCCATTTGGCATGAATTCATAAATTAGAGCTCTTTTGCGACCCTCAAAGCAAAATCCCACAAGGCTCATGATGTTAACATGTGATGTCCTGCTAATACTCGCCACCTCGTTAATGAATTCTTCACCACTTCCTTTTAGCTCATTCAGAACCTTCACTGCCGCGTGTTTCCCATTCTGCAAACTTCCTCTGTATACATTACCATATCCTCCTTGGCCTAATTTGTTTTTGAACCGAGTGGTCATCTCTTTGACCTCTGAATAGGTGTATCTCTTTGGAGCATATGACCCATTGTTCTTCAGAAATGCTTCAATATTTCGGTGATCCTCAGTTTTAGATTCCCAAAACATGAGGCACTTGTACCAGAAAGTTCTTTTTCTAAAGCAGAAGAGCAAAATCAAGATTCCAGCACAACAGCTCAAGAAAACTGCCACTGTGAAAAAAATTGAAGTCATTCACTAAGAAGATAGTCTGTTATTAGGGTAATTCAACTAGTACAAGTGTTATTTACAAAAGAAAGATTTGGAAAGAGCACAAGGGATAAAAGTATTAAGCTTTTTTATCATTATTATTGAAGAAATAAACCTATAAAGGCAAAAATCTTGTGATGGAGAACAACATATTTGTAGGTAATACCTGTGACAATCACTTCCAGTTTTCTATTTCCTGCAACTATAGTAAACAATGCAAATTTAAGTTAAACCAAGGGAAAAGAGAACTAAATCCTTTAATGTGAACCATGAAAAAAGCTTCTCCTTACCATTGTTGGTATTGGTATTAGAACAATGAAAGTTGTTAGTAGTATTATCAGTTTGACACATGCCTCCTGTATAATGACACCGATTACAATCATCAGACACAATCAATCCTAGTACAACTTCATCTGTTAACAGATGAAATAAGTCACTTCCATTTGTTTTTGCTTCTGAATTTGATGTCAAAGGCAACTGAATAAATGAACAGCTACTAGGAATAGATTCTTGATAAAAATGGATGGAAATGTTATAGTATAATATGAAACTATCACAGACATTGTAACTTTGATAACTGCTGGAATTGAAAAATTCTTCATTTATACTCTTTTGGCTTCTGTTGCATTTGAACAAAGTGAGTAAGGGATCAAATCTATATGTTATTGAAGGAGAAATAGCGATCGAGAAATTTTTATCAAAAGTCTCACAACTGTTCTTCTTCAAAAGTTCTCCAAGACTAGAGTCCTTAAGTGTGATAAAAACATCATTTTTTTCAAGAGCTTGATATTTCACCCCTTCTAATTCAATAATAGGATTTGGACTAACATCACAATAAACTTTGGACAATCCACAATCAAGTTCAGTGGATTTGTAGAAAGGAAAACTCAAATTTCTTAAGTTCCCACACTGGAATTCTTCAGTGCAGTTTGGGTAGGATGTGTTCTGTCCTTGAGCTGAATCAAAGCACCAAAAGTGAAACAAAACGAAGACGAAAAAACAAGAGAACATATCCATGATGAACCCTTTTGTACAAACAAACATCAATAGCAGCAAAACATATAACTGGATTTATTTAAACTAAAATATTAAGATCTGAAACAATTCTTGATTTTCCAAAAAAGCAGAAGACTAAGAACTGTACTGCAAAGACTTGGGATTGGAAAAGTCTATGCATTAATTGTGAATTGGTGGGAAGCTAAAAAATTTTATTCAAAATTAATTTTTCTTTCTCCATTGGGTCACAATCAAATGTAGCTAAAATCTTGTATCTATTCAGTTATGTAAAATTTATGTCCAAACAAATACATGGTGTGCATCTATTGATTTGGTTTAAATACCGAGTGCCTATGAACTCCTCCCAATAATTGATCTTATTATACTATTTTGGATACCGACCGACACTAGTGTTGCATTTGAAGAATTCAAGATATGAAGAAGCAAACAAAAGAAAAAAGACCAAGACATGTGGAATTCTCTCTTGCTAAAAGAAAAAGAAAATACCTCAAGAAAAGGTTGAGTAGATATTAACTTAATTGTTAAATTAAATCCCTTTTTGTCATTATTACAACAACAACAAACTCAGACCTTGTCCCTACCTTGAGAAGGTAGATAGATTGTTTTCCATAGACCCTCCACTCAAACACGGATGAAAAAGATGACGTAGCAACAAGCAGGAACAACAACAAGAAAATACAATAGTCAAGAATGAAGAATCAACTGATATAAAGAGTGAACAACATTATTAATATTATTACAATCCGAACTACTCCTAGTACACGCAGTTCTCCAGTCAGTCTTACACTGCAGGTTTCAAAATATGATATTTGAGGTCAAGGTTGTTAGTAGACTTTGAAATTTCTCAGAGAGCTAATGTAGATACAGATTAGAAACTCTGTGAAATGATGACATACAGAGGCAACAATTGTGTACTCATTGACTAAACTAGCTTCAGAATCAACTGACATTTCAGCACATTTTCCTTCACCATCTTCAAGTACAAAATAAGTAGTTCTAGTGCAAATTTAATCTTTTAGATTAATCTCATAACTACTATCACACTTCTTCATTTGATAGAACCTATTTACATTATTGGCTGACATATAGTATGCTCTGATGCCAATGTTCAATAAATCACTTTTTAATTAACTAAGATATGAGGCAGATATCAGAAAGAATTACTATAACAAAATTGTAGACACACTTGGCAACGATGCACGAGTTAAGTGACTTTAACCCCACTTGGTTGTTTTCCTTCCATGGCATCCTTCTTATTACAACAGTCAGCACATAGAAATGGACCTTGCCAAGGCTTTGAGCTTGTCGAGAAAATTGAACCAGCATGTACTGATATGCCTTCACTTGCAGCAAGGTCGACCTGGCAAACAGCACAGATGAAGAGATCGGACATTGATGGACCATTTGAATCCTCACTCCCCAATCTGCAATCCACATAATAGCACAATGATCAAACTCTTCTTCTTGGAAAAATTCATAGAATATTGAGAAAAAAAAAGTCAAGAATATGGAGATCCAGGTAGAGGGAAACATTACAACCACCTCGTATCTATGTAAGGAGACCACATTTAGGCTAAATCTCAACGCTTATCAACGTAACAATATGGTTTAATAGTTATGGTATTTAACAATCAATCTTGTCTAATTTATTCAATTCAAAATCAACAGAAACAAAAAGTTTCATGAAGTATTAAACTAAAGCAAGAAGGCTTCAAAGTTCAAGAGAATTATGACCTTTCAGCAAGAATTGCTGAGCCTTCTTCAAACAGTTCCTCTACAATGCCTACAGCTGACAGCTTTTTCGATAGTTTAGCAGCAGATTTATGCGACTTTCTTCTGAAGAAAAGAGATCGGAGCTTGTTATACTTCTTGGGCGGAGTTGCAGGCTGTACAGTGTTATCAGGAGGTATTATGTCAACAACTATGCATGTTGTGTCATCCTTCAACCCTCGTGTCCTCAAAGCTTCCTAGACAATCAATGACATAAATGAGTTAAAGATATCATCCTAAACACTTGTTATAGATGCAAAGATTCATGTGAGTTCCACTACCTTCACAACTTGTCTAGCAGCAAGCTCAGCAGGCAAGCCACGACAAGACTTGGCAGCCATGTCCGATGATATGGCATCCCAAACTCCATCAGATGCAATAATTAGCCTTCCACCTACAGCTGATAGCTTCACAATGTTGAAAAGGTAAGAGCGTGATCCATTCATGAATTTACTTGTCTGTACACAAGACATCAGATATAGAACAGAAAAGAGTACACCGGGATTTGGTAGGAGGGTAAATCTTAAGATGGTTTAAAAGAGAGTAAGAACAGAAAAGAAAAGCAAGGTATTACTTTCACTTGTTTGACAAATGGTATTGGAACAATGAATTCCCCTACATCCATATCTCCGATTGATCTTGAAAGGCATAAACCTCCTGGCCAACAGCGAAGAGGACCGATCTGCAGATGGAAAATGAAAGTTTTATTTCACACCCGTGATATGATATCGGAGATGCAAATTTACAACACACCTCAGTACCACCAAATATACTAAGTCTTCCTACTTCGCCTCCACTTGATGTGACACGCTCCCTTCTGCAATTAATTAAGAGATGATGAACATTTTCTTCTCAACACACCTGATGGAAAGATTTAGAAGATGGACACTTACTCCTCCACATTTTCTTCAAGCCTATGATCTACAGTTAATTCTGAAACAGCACCACCCTGAGTATCCAAAATGCAGCGTGAATCTCCAACAGACGCAACTGTCACAGTCCATCTATCAACTATCACAAATGTAGCTGTAGTTCCAGATGTTTGTCCTGCAGTGACAAATGAAGTCATATAAAATTAGCACTATTGAAGCATAAAATGAAAATAACAACTAGAAAGTGAAATGCAGAAGCACAAATTTCATGCCTTTACTCTGGAACTCCTTGTCAGTTTTCACAAACCCTGCAACTAGTGCACGAGGCAAAGCATGAAGCCACTCATCCCTTCCGAGTCCACAAGGAATAGCACCCAAAACATGATTTAGTAAATGATCCCTTGAGAACACTGCTGCTGCTGTCCCATTATGTCCATCAAAGATCTGACGGAAAGAAGAATTGCAATGGAAAATTAATCAACTGAAGAATCTAGCTGCAGGGACCATCATATCAGCTGAACCTCTAATAAAATTCGACCAGCACACAATTTTGGTCCCAAACGTAATATTGAACCATATCAATACTTAACAAGCTTGAATAAAATGGAAACACTATGGAACATACAAAACAAATACAATGACAAGACCATCAACCTTCAGTCACTAGTCCAACTTTAAAAAACAATTCTACTGAATAAATCCAAATGATGATTGTAAATGGCCTATAGCTAGAATGGGTGACATCAGACTGGATTAATAGGTGTATGGAACCAATGTAAGAAAGACTGGAAATTTTACATGTAATCGATTGATTAAGACGACAAGTTTGTCTAGTAGAAAGATGGAGAAATGGATAAATGTATCAGGGTGCAATGAACCTGAAACTGAGTGAAATTGATACAAAAATTCACATATCGACCCCAACTAATGTGGTGAAAGATGGAGTTTGATGTAAAAAAAATGGAGAAATACATACCGCAAACACAGAGAAGGTGGATGAAGGATTGCCTTGAACTCTCTGGCAATCTGTCGTCATCAGATAATAATCCTCACCTTTCTTAGACTGAGCTGCACATCCATATCTTACAGTTGGCTTCTCCATTTTTTCATTCCGCAATTCTCTGCTTATCAGTGCTGCTAATGGCACAAGATCATGATTCAATCTATGCCTCTCTTCTCTTGACCCCATTTTCGACCTACAAACTATTCCAAGTTAAATCTCCCTAATTCCACCACGACGTTGAAAACTTATACCTTGTTATAGTTGTATCCGGAGAATATGAACCTCCCACGTTCTTCTTTTCTTTTAATCCTGAGATCACTTCTATTTTTTCACATCTCAGCTCATCAGAAGAGCTCCACAATTGTCAAGAATAGAGCTCTTAATGAGTCTATTCGATCCAACAAACATTTACCCTCTGACAACCTCATTATTCCCAAATCTTCAAACTTGAACCCCAAATCCAATCATACACCATATAAACAACATGAAACTTCAAGAACTTCCAAACAATTTCATTCCTGAAGTTTCGAACTTGATCCCCAAATTCAACCACAAAAACACCTAGAACAAGTACATACACAACATTCCCAATTAATAACTCTCCCAAAGTTTCAAACTTGATCCCCAAATCCAATCACACACATCAAAGTCACCAGATCAAACACACAAACAACATGAAACTTCAAGAACCTCCAAACAATTTCATTCCCTAAGAAGAACTCTCCCAAAGTTTCAAACTTGATCCCCCAATTAAACCACAAAAACACCTAGAACAAATGCATAAACAACATGAAACTTCACAGAGCTCCTAACACTTCCACTACCAAGAACTCTCCCAAAGTTCCAAACTTGATCCCCGAATTCAATCACAAAAACACCTACAATAAATACATAAACAACATAAAACTTCAAGAACCTCCAAACAATTTCATTCCCAAATAAGAACCCTCCCGAAGTTTCAAACTGTATCCCCAAATCCAATCACACACAACAAAAACACCAAAACAAACACATAAACAACATGAAACTTCAAGAACCCCTTAACATTTTCATTCCCAAATAAGCACTCTCCCAAAGCTCAAAACTTGATCCCCAAATCCCATCACACCAAAACTTCAAGAATCTCCAAACAATTTCATTCCATTAAACTCCTGTTTTAAAATAGCCCAAATTCCACCACACACACACACACCAAAACACTTGGATATTACCTTGTAAAGACAATGTTTTTTTAACGTACTATGTTTTCCCCCACAAACAAAACCAAAATGCAGATCTGATAGTGACTGCAGAGACAAAGAATTTCACTCCAAGTTAACAACTTTAATACAAAAAACTAAAAAAAGAAACAAAAAAACGCGGATTGCTGACAAGATATGAACTGTAATAAATCAACCATCAAATACCCATTACTTAAAAAAGTATTTTTTTTTCCTCAAAATAAACAAACATTCTTGAATATTATACACATAAATCTCACATGAATAAACAAATGCTATCAAATTAAACAAAGATATAATCTTTTAAGAGTAATTAACAAATAAAT